GAACTGGATGAAAGAAGGTGAAGGGATTAGGCAAAGAGCATATATGCATGGCCCATGGATATAGACAACAGTGTGGTGATGGTGGGGGCTGGGTGGAGGTGGGTAAAGGGGAGGGGGAGAGGGATATCTTTAATAGCATCAACAATAAAAATAAATTTAACAAAACCCCAGACTTCTGCTCTGTAAAAGATATTGTCAAGAAAATGAAAAGACAAGCCACAGATTGGGAGAATATATTTCTAAAAGATATATCTGATAAAATACTGTTATTCAAAATAAAGAACCCTAAGACTCAAATAAGATGAACTAATTAAAAATGGCGAAAAGTACTGAACAGACACCTCATCAAGAAGATATACAGATGGCAAATATGAATATGAAAAGATGCTCAGTGTCCTACGTCATTAGGGAATTGCAGATTTAAACAATGATATACCACCACATACCTATCAGAATGGTGAAAATCCAACACATTGACACCACCAAATGCTACCAGGGATGTAGAGCAACAGAAACTCTCACACACTGCTGATGGGAATTAAAAATGATACAGTCACTTTGGAAGACAGTTTGGCAGTTTCTTACAAAACTAAACATACACTCATCATACAATCCAACAATCATATTCCTTGGTATTTACCCAAGGGAGTAAAAAACTTATATCCACACAAAAACCTGCACATGAATGTTTAAAACAGTTTTATTTATAATTGCCAAAACTTGGGAACAACTAAGATGTTTCTCAGTAGGTAAATGGATAAACATTGGTACATCCAGTTATGGAATAGTATTCACCAGTAAAGGAAATGAGCTATTATAACCCGTGAAAAGGCACGGGAGAACATTAAATGTATATTACTAAGCGAAACAAAAAGCCAATCTGAAAAAGCTACTTACTATATGATTCTAACTATATAACATTCTAGAAAACACAATATTATGGAGACAGTTATGGATAGGTAGGGTACCAGGGGTTGGGCAGGGGATGGATGAAGAGGAAGGGCAGAGAGAAATTTTATGGCAGTGAAACAATCTGTATGATACTATAATGTTGGATACATATCATACATATAACCCATAGAATGTACGACACCAGGAGTGAAACCTAAAAAATGGACTTTCGGTAATAATGATGACAATGTAGTTTCACTGAAAATAACACATGTACAATCTTGGTGTGGGATGTTGACAGTGGGGGAGTCTGTATGGGAAGTACATGGAAACCCTTTATTTTCCATTTTGCTGTGAATCTAAAATTGCACTAAAAAAATAAAGATTTCTGTTTCTAACAGAAAAAAAAAAATCATTAGTGAACGGAATCCTTTTTTTAAGGATAAATGTTATATTGAAGGCCAGATAACTTCAAAAAATCTGAAAGACGACTTACGGTGAAAACTTTGAGCATTAAGCTCTATAAGCGTATGTCAAAACCAATGGTGATATTGTCTTAAAAGAAATGTCTTGGTAATTTTTAAGGATTAAAATTGTTATTAATTTTTTTAGGAAGAATATTTATGGAGAGAATACTTACTATTCAAAGACATAGCTAAGACAACCGTGTGGGCGCGGTTGTGTTCATTCAGAGCTCATTTCTGCACAAATGCTAAAATGAGAAAGGTGCGGTGGTCTGGGTTGTCGCCCCCTCACCCATAAGTGCTGCGGAGGCTCTGACAAAGGAGAATGTGTGAGGCTGTTCCCTGGTGAGAGTAAGAAGCCTCAGGAAACCTCACCACGGCAGGGTGGCTGAAGACCAGGCCTGACTGAAACAACTCTGGCAGCCTTTCAGCCCACTGTGCTGGGAAGGAGCCCGNTTTCAGCCCACTGACTGTGCTGGGAAGGAGCCCGGTCTAGATATGGCCACCGGGGCCTTGCCTCTGGGTGTGCCTTCGCTGGTGTCTGCGGGGCCCGCTGGGGCGCTGGGGAGGGTACGGAGGGGACCCTCTGCGCTGATGCTGGAGAGAAACTCTGCGGATGGGGCCCAGACGGTGCTGCGGCCCAATCCTCGAGTTTGTGTCGCCATTATATCCCCCCTGGACCCTGGAATGGTTATTGTAGAATTGCTGGGGCGGTAAAGAATGGTAGGAAGGCACAAAGGCGCCTTGGCCATAGGGCGGGAACAGAGGGCGAGGCTGGGCAATGGGTGAAGAAGGTCGCAGGGGGGCGCGCACAGACGAGGACCTGGGCGGGGGCCTGGACGACCTGGGCGGGGCCCTGGACGAGGCCCGTTGTCCCGAGTCACCTCTGCTCTCCCGGTGCTGCCTCCCCGGCAATTCT